AATGACCAGGTGCCAATGGACTACACCTGGGCAAAGAAGTTGGGCATGATCAGGCAAGTTATAGTGAGTGTGCAGCTTTAGATATCGCCTTCGATTTTCCTGTGCTGCTAAAACAAGAACATGATAATCAATGTCATACCTGAGGAAGCCTGCAAACTTCATTTCCTCGATTTCTGATGATCGTGGAGAGGACATTCCGACATTCGGACACCTTGCGGGGCCTTGAGAAAAGCTCATACAAGAATTTGGAACACAATTGGGATTCTTTAATGCCTTGCAGATGTTCCAGCATCTCGTTTGGGAGTAGCCCATGTGAACATGGGCTGAGCGACGTGGTGGCCTCACTTAGGACACGATCAGGTAGGAGCAATTTTCCATCACATTTTGCCGTGGTGTGCCATTCTGTATTTTGATTATTTTGCAGGTACTGCGTTAGACACATCACTTGCTGCGAGAGATTGTCAAAGATTTGGATCAGCCAGTGTAGGAGCTTACCTACTGCGGTATGTCCATCTCGGATGTCTTCACAAAGGACCAATTCAGCTTCCAACTTGCAGCTTTCACACGGCTGCGCTGTGCATTGTAAGCAAAGGACATCGGCATCGGTGGCGTGCTGTCCCTTCTGTGGTTCCGCAGACAGCTCCCAGAAAAGGCCTCAGAACGCAGGATTGCAGTTCAAGTTTACTTTATGAGTCCTCCTTGCAGACGAGTACCAACCGCGTTTTGCACTGCTCTACTGCTCTGCTCTACTTTGTACAACTTCAACCAATCAGAAATGACAAGGAAAACTGCTGAACATATCCATTTGAAGCATAGATTACAGATGATTAAAGGCTAGGAGAACTGAAGAACTCTGCACGTGATCGCATGGTAGTTTTTTTGGATACTTTTTGTGATTTTGGAACGCACTGAAGCTACTGAACCAGTGATCGGTGAGTGCGCGATGTGCATGAAGTTCGTGACCTCAAGAAAATCTATTAGGAACAAATAGCTACTAGTAACAAGTGCATCGCTTCTAGTAGCAAGTGCCTTACTGGTAGTAACAAGAAGCTATTAGAATCACATATATAGCTTCTTGTTACTACTAGTAAGGCACTTGTTACTAGAAGCGATGCACTTGTTACTAGTAGCTTATTGTTACTACTCCCGTGTTGGAGTGTCTGGAGCCTGCACATGTCCACTCGAGGCTTCAGCAGAAGCCAGCCTCCATTGCTATTCTGAGACCTTCAATTCTAATAGCTTTTTGTTACTACTAGTAAGGCACCTGTTACTACTAGCGTGGCACTTGTTCCTAGTAGCTTCTTGTTACTTACTAGCAAGGCACCTGTTACTACTAGCGTGGCACTTGTTCCTAGTAGCTTCTTGTTACTTACTAGTAAGGCACCTGTTACTACTAGCGTGGCACTTGTTCCTAAACCGTTCAACCCATTGGTCCCAAAACGCTTTACCCCAATCTCCCAGCCACACCACCTACAAATCCGTGGGTGAGCGAGAGACAGACTGGAGGCAGCACCAGAACACGCCACGCAAGTACGTGGGCAACAAGAAGCCAAAAGCCAAACCGTAAGACGCAAATAACGATTGCCTTTAAATGCCTTTAATTATACTATTGAAAGTATAGTACAGACCGTCAAATTGATCTTTAACTGCAAGGAATGAAACGAATCAACAATAACGAGGGGTGCATTTGCAACCACACAAAGTCCTTCTTCCTTTCAGTTTTCTTGCTGTAGTGCTTGTAGTGTTAATTTAACTGGCCAATCCGCGTTTGGTGCCTGTGTTTGTGGAGTCTTTCACTTACAGCAGTATTGTAGAACGTGGCTTTCGCTCTTGGGGCTGATTTTGTACAACTGTTTGGACATGTATTCTGTATTGCGTCGAGTAACAGAAAAGCAGTTGTGTTTCAGCACGTCAAGAAGTCAGATGCCTGGGCTTGGTCTCATGTTTGAGCTAAGGACTACTGCACAAAGTTCATTGAGATGATCTTGATGGTTACTGCAGACCACGGCCCTGCTGTGAGCGGAGCACACAACACCATTGTCACAGCCCGTGCAGGTGTGGTTTCTGCATGCTGCATGAGAGATCATGAATCAAAGCAACAGTGGGATTCTTTACGACACTTGAAACTGTAAAAGAAAGATTGACAGCCAGAGCCAAGATGAGCCTAGAGCATGCTTTGCGCTAGGAAAGGATCTCGTGTCTTCCCTTTGCAGCGGCTTGCTGACCATTGGTCCTCGCTTCGGTGGTGCCCTGGATGATGCCGCCAAAATGTTTCTTGTTTGCAATTGGAGGATCAAAATGATCAAAGAGTGTCGCAGCACGAGATGTTGAGATATCGATATCGACCCACCATTGATTGATATTGATTGTGCCAATCCTGGTTCTACCCAGGTTCGCTGAAGCGCAGGGCAGCGGTGTCGCACCTAAGGACCCGTGAAACGTAGAAAAGTCAAAGACCTTGGTTTGCGGGAAAGACAGTTCTGAAAGCTTTGTCAATGCAAGACACCTTTTCAAAGCTATTTTCACAGGACTGGATTGAGAAGATGAAGAAGAGCAATCAGCTCATCATGGGCATTGGACATCGCATCAAGTCCTTGGCCAACCCCGACCAACGAGTCTGATACCTAGTTCTCTTTCACACAATCTGGATGTGGGTGAATTCCTAGACCCAACGCCATGGCCCGGATACAAGTGAACCCCCTATAGACCATTTTGATCCTGTGCAAGAGCCCCTTTTCAGGTCGAAATCATTAAGGGCTTTGCAAAGAAGAACTTCAAATCCACGCCGACTCTGGACTATGCCCTGGCAGTGGCATCTTGGCAGTACTCCGGGATTGATGATGCTGCTATACAGTTGCACAAAGAGAAAGGCCTCTATCGAATTAAATGCTCCCAGCTCTGCAGAAATGCCAGAAGGGTCAATTTCAAGACTGGTACTGTAAATGTAGATGGACATGTTTGCCCATCAACTCCCTCAATACAAGCTCTTACACGGCTCCAGATATGCACCTTGAGATGCTGAGGAACAGATCACTACCCGCAAGAGGGCGAACTTGATCCTGAACGTTGACGGCTGCATTGCTGTGTGCCTCGTCGAAGGTAGTGCCACGTCACTCTCCTCACTGTGATGCCCCAAATATCATACAATCACAACCATCAACGACCACAATTCACAAAACCGTGAGGTGCGACCACTACCACGTTCTGAGGTCTTTTGTGGACATGATTCGTTCCTGCGGTGCATTCTCAAAGGACCCTGAGGGCATCAAGGTGATGTGCAACAAACATGACAAGTGAAGTGTGTTTGGACGAGTTCATTCACCTGGCCTCAGACTTGGATGATGCTCTAGGAAGAGTGCGATGACCTCATGGCATTTGGCTGCCTCAATGGCCTGTTCGTTTTAGGCACAGCTGTTGTGTAGCTTCGCCTGTAGAAGTGCGTTTGATTTGCTGCACTGATTTGTGCGTTTGCACTGGTGGCTTTTTGTCATCTACCTGCGAGCAGGTCGATCCATTGGCTTTATCGGACACTACCTCGACCAGCTCAGGCTCTTGCAATAGTTTCAACACGCAAACATGAGCAGCAAACCGCTTGTTTGGAACTTACATCTTACACCCGATGCAAATATTATTGGTGTTGATGGTCTCGGCCAACTTGACACGGCCGTGTTGATTGTAATAAGGCTGTCGGATGCAGTTGTTCTATTCCGTTGGTTCAGTACGACTTCAAGGAACAATGAACCTGATCTTTCTGTTTGAGGCTGAAGCAGCCTCTTTACCGCCATCCTTGGGATGACATCACATACATCCAGGAGACATGTTACCAAAAACGATTGCAACATCTCAACAAGCAACAATCAGTAAAATAACCAAAGAACAGATTCGATTCCTTGAGATTCACTTTATTATCATACCTAATTTCACATACCGTAATATCACATCATCCACCACATCATCATGCCACGGTTTCATTTTTTCAAATCTGCACTTCAGGAGCTTGCTGGACAAGGGCCAGAGTAGATGGCCAGGCACTGAATGAAACTTGACCGTTGATATTGACTCAAGGGATCCCTTGTGCCTAGGTCAATCGATGAAGGATATATGATGTGCTTTGGATGATTCAGCAAGCACACACTGACGTTGGTTAGGCACGCGACAATCTGCAAAAACAGTTTTGGCTTGAAAAACATTTAAGGGATGATCTAGTTGAACGCGGATGACTTCTTCACACACGCACTGGACAAACGACCTTTGAACCGTGACCTGTGCTCCAGATGTAAACTTCACTGTTTACACCCAAATCATGATGAATCAATCATCAACCATGATTTGACCCCCTGCTTGAGATACTGTAGCAGTTTCCAGGATTCATGTGTTCCCCTCAGTGCATGATATTTGTATAATATTGACTTCCAGATAGAAGCACGACAGATGTAATTAGACTTGATAGAGGTGTCCCTTTGTAGCAATAGGGCAAGTCTGGGCAAGGAATGAGGATCGCAACAGCGGCACAGGTTGAGCCCTTCAGCAGCATGGCAACAACGCGACTCTTGCTGCTCTTCCCATTTGTTCTGGAAAGTTTTGCGGAAGTGCGGTGCTGCGTGAGCAAACTCCCGCCTTCGGCTTTCTCCACATTTTCCAAACGGATCTCAGCCAATCTGTAATTTGCGCGTCTCTGTGTCACAAGTGACAAGGTGTGCAGCCTTGGAGGTCAAATAAGCAATCAGATTCAGACATAGACTTGAGGTAGAGCGAGGTAGAGCTATCAGATGGCATTTACTGTAATTATATAAGCAGTTCAAGATGCAAAGGAGACAAAGAGACATTTTCTTCTTTTGACGCAGCATTCAGAGGGCCGCGCGGGAAAAGAGCTTTTGTGGCCAAATGATGCCAAATGACATGCCAAGGGACAAGTGAGACGTGACTTGGGCGACAAGACATAAGACAGCTTCTAACATGTTCATTTCTGTGATTTGTTTTTGCTGATACTTTTGGTGCAGGCGGCAGAGGTGGGCTGGTCTGAAGTCCAGAAGGACGGTCATCGCTGAAAGGCATCACACAAAGCAACGACAAAGCTGTTTCGTTGCATTCAAGCGTACCAGAGCTCACCCCTTTGCTAGCCCTGAATACAAAGAAGAGAATGATGCGGGATTGTGGAATCTTGATTTGTCAACAATTGAGGGAGGACGGATAGTCAAAGGTCCACCAAAACAGTTCCAGGGGAAACAAAAGGAAGGCTAGGCATACGAAGTCCTTTATGCGGAATTGCTTTGAGAAAGGAAGACAAAAGGACACGAATGGCAATCCTTTCCTCTCCGGCCCTCCTTTTTAGTTCTGGCGCCTTAGGGCAAAAGGCCAAAGAGCCTCCGGGCATCTCTATTGCATCAGGCAAAACCACTAATAAAATACTATACACTGTGTATGTTGGTGTGTATATAGTATTATATATATGTACTATTCCCAGCCGCGGACATGCAATTGAATTCCATGTAGACTACCCCACTTGCACATTTGTTGTTGGCAGTATTTTGAAATAGTTTCACCAGGAAATCTTGATAAAAGGGGGCAGTCAAGACTAGTCAAACTGGTTTCAAAGCAGCATTGTACAAGGCTGTGGTGGGCGTGTTGGTGGCGGCGGCGGCGGTGGTGGTAGTGGTGTGAAGACATAGAGAAAACACACACACACACGGCAAACAACAGCTCTCTGAGAGCAATTTTCGGGTTTGGAGTGATTCTGCGAAACCTGTATATACTTTGATTCCATCCCACTTAGACGAATCAACATGAATCAAAGATTTGTTGCAGGACCAAGATGGTCGAGCCACACGTGGTGATGGCCGGAAGCTTGCCCACAAGCCATGGCCATAGACACCAGTGATTCTTGATGAAAAACACCAGCTGGTGATTTTCACTCTTCCGTATCTCGACTTTCAGGTTCAATATTTTCCAAGATATCTCTTCAGAAGAGGATGACGGAGAGCTGGACAAGGACTGCTCCTGCAAGTTGATTTATGGGCCTATGCAGGTTCAACAGCAGAATCACCCTGAATAGCCAACCTCTTGAACTGATTGACATTCCTAAAAACCGATGCTCAGCAGCCATGGAGGAGAGGCGAGGTCTTAGTGTTGAGCAGATTTTGGTGCGGCACCCAGGATTTGATGAGGGGTGTTAGTTTGTGAGCCTTCAGCAAGACTGGAGTGCTTGGTGATTCCGAGGAGCGTAGTCCGAAGTATGCTGACAAGTTCCTAGACAAAGTCAAGCCGTTGCTGGTAGAGCCAAAGGTTGGGAGAGAAGTGTACTTAGCTACTCTATTCTGAAAGACCATCACTCTGACATTTCAAGTATGTTACAATTGGTGTGTAGCACCACTCACGATTGCACGACCTGTCACTGGATACAGTACATCCTGTTTGGATTATTGCGAGAGCTTGGATCTACAATGCCAACCGGGAAGGTCAGCAAAAGTGCAGCAGGAGGTGCTTTCACAATGCTCGAAGCCCTGTCCTTGGTAACTCAAGAGATTGAATGGGCTTGCCGCATCCAGCATGAGGATCTTAACTATGTTTCCTGACCTCATACCAAAACTGGCAGAGGATCGCTGCGGCCATTTTTAAGGAGCCAAAGCTGATGGACTTGCTCAACGAGAGTCTGGGTCCAAGCAAGGCTCAAGTATCTTCCAGCGCCTGCGTTTATGCTTTAGTGGACTCTGTTGTTCAGAGGGAACCGACTGTTGCAGCGAACAACGCCATTTGGACTGCAAAGTCGACAGTCAAGCCAGTTTCCTCAGGTTCAAAGACCGTCCAACGCCACGTCCGCAGATGCCGCACTTCTTTGAAGCCCGACTCTCATTCAATCATCAGAAAGTTCATGAGAGTTCTCAATTATTCTCTATTATTAATCCGAGGCAGATGAACTGGGCAATGACTTCGCTTTTGGCTCACAAGGATGAGCGTGGCCATTTCTTGAGCCTGAGATTCAACAAAATACATACATACAGCTTGTGTTTTTGCTCACTCATGTGAGTCATGTTATCTCATGTTCCGCTGTGGTTTCCATGCATTTTTAACTTGACGCGTTCGGTGCGAGCCAGCAGGATAGCCCATGGAGAGGCCTTGAGGTCAAAGGCTCCTTGGCAGAGCATGGTTGCGCTGGTGCCCCAGCTTTTGCACTGAGTTTCAAACGGAACGGGCTGTGCTCGAGAATGTAGTTCGATGTCTTGGCATCTAGGTCAAACTGCTGGAGCTAATGAAATCAGGCCAAATCCCTCATGAGTTTGGGGTGAGCGGAAAGATCAATCAATATCAGTTGCATTCAACATCACGTGCCTTTGAATGACCTTTATGACGCTGGAGTCTGTCAGCGAGACATTGCGACCCCACACATATAATCTATAATATGGTTTGTGAGCAGGGTCCAAATGAACTTGCATCACAAGACAAGTAGCAGACTCAAAGAAGCCCTCAATTTCCCATTGCCTCTCGTGCTGGTCGGAGCTCAACGTGGCATTCCACTGACATCCAAGTCTCCTAAATGCTTGCAGCTTGTTCAGCCGACAACAATTCCCATTGCAGAGACGCAAGAACAGTACCGGAACTTGGACATTTGTAGATGAGAGTACTTTGAGGAATGGGGCGCTAATGTTTCTGTGAAGGCATGGCCGTGGGCAAGTTTAGCGAGGCTCGCGAATTGCAAAATTGTTTCCAGAAACGATATGTTACGTATTGTGTAACTTTGTCAGTGACTTTTGTCAATCTTCAGGTGCACGAAGAGGAGTTTGCAAAGCTCGTGGACAATCTTCATAGGCAGATGGTGTCTACCGCGGGGAGCCGGAGTCAGATGGTCACAAAGCACGTTTGTTGCAGGTTGTACATGGACATTTTCGAGCGACGCGGCCAGGAGTCTGCAACAGAGTGACTAGTCTCCACCAAATTGAACCCCAATCAAAGAAGCGCATTATTTTTCCAGCAGCTGTTTATCTAAGCTTTTTTCAAGCACGGCAGGCGCAAGACTTGCATGGAGAAGAAATCAACAATGCAGCAATGCATGTTTCCTGGTTGCCGCAGTCCAAGTGTGTCTTGACTTGGTAGAGACAGATAGCTCCGAGCACATCCGAGCACAAATCGCAACACATGGCACGAATCGAAAGACCTTGACATACCTTGACTATCCTTGACTCTCACTTTTTGAATCACACAAGCGATGGCCTTGATGATGTTGGGAAGACCACCAACTCAGCTGATTTGGCCCTCGCTTCCGGCTTCTACTCAGCCACCCCAGCGGGCTGCATGGCAGCGGGCCACTGGCCAGACGAATTTCAACCAGTTGAACGTCCATGGACTGCTGAGAACTCGTCCCATGTCGTACAGTTGATCGCTGTGATTTTCCACTGCCAAGCCACTGAAAAGCTTAATGGGTGTGTCGTGTGCTTGCTTGCAAGGCGAAGTGCACGCTGTTCTACTTGCAGCAGTCTATAGAATAGGCAGAAAGAGAAATGCGCATACTGCGCTCTATGCGGCAACAGCTTTGAAGAGGGTCGTTAAGGACAACACGAAGACCCGAACTGAAAAGAAAACCAGCGACCTGTGGGGTGTAATCATCAGCGCTCCAATACAGCAGTTTCGCTGGAAGTTTTGGAAACCAGTCTCTTGGAACGCACAAACAAGCTTGACCCAACACTTTGGTAGAATTAGGTAGCATTCACTGTTTGAATCCTGTTGAGTACGTAACTGTTTTGTGGGACACAACTTGGCAAGACGGAACTAGGTCAGCATCCGCTTGGGTCTGCGGACTTTAGCCGTTGATGACTTCGCAGAGATGCTCAAAGAAGCCCTGCCGGAGATCATCACCATCAGCAAGGCTAAGCAAGTGGCCAGTGAGCTCGTTGAAAATGCAACTTGACGCAGAAGTAGGATGAAATAGCGCGTTGAAAATTCAAGCTTGCAAGCACTGCAATTTGTTTCCATTTGCTACGCTGGTAATTAAAGATCTCTAAAAAGACCTCTTACTGTATATGAGCAACCTCTTTTATTTGCGGTAGTCAAGATTAGTGAAAGGGGCGTTTGCAGAGCGGTACATGTCATCCTGTACAGTCAACTAACCTCATACATACCTAGCCCCTTTGAGGTCCAAAACAGCGCGCTACCCGCTTGCATGGTAGCGGAGCTGGGTCCAGGGGTGCCCGGCTCCACCCTCCGTAAGACGGCGTGAAGCCCGAGAAGGTGGCCGCAGGAGGGATTCGACGTAAGTCCAGGCCAAAGCGCCGTGGCGGTACGCAGCGCTCATGGCGGCGGCTCCCGGCACGCCTCCACAAGCTTTCGCTTCGCCTGTGGGAGGCTCACCATCCGGCGGAGGCACCTTGCAGCAGATGGCTGGACCTGGATTTGCTGTTGGCGGCGGCGGCGGCTTGATCGACACCCGCGCCATCGGCAAGCTGAGGATGTTCAATGGCAAGGAGGAAGGCTGGCCTCCCTGGGCATTTGTGGCCCGAGGCTACTTGAATTTGTTGGACCCCGGCTACCACGCCATGATCACAGCAGCTGAACAAGCACCCAGGTACTCTGACCTGATCCTGGCGGACATGGGGCAGAACGGGCAGGAGAAAGCAGTGGTCCTGTTCAACCTGTTGACCCAATCGGTCGAGGGCAGAGCTTTGTCTGTCCTGATGAATGTGGAGAGCGGCAACGGCTTTGCAGCATGGAAGGCCTTGTGGGAGGCCTATGAGCCGGACATCGGTGGCCGGCATACAGCAATGTTGACTGGGATCATAGCCCCAGCATGGGAGACGGTGAAGGAGATCGACTTCCTCGAGGCGATGGAGACCTGGGAGGTTCAGATCCGAAGGTATGAAGTTCAGAGCAGGGAACAAGTGTCCGATTCCACGAAGATTGCAGTGCTGATGAAACACAGCCCACCTTCAGTGAGGTCAGCTATGCGGATGGCAGGTCCACAGATTGGCACAAACTTCGAGCGCGCAAAGAAATTCCTACGGGACTTCCTCCAGAGCGGCTCCTACTACACGAATCGTGGTGAGACCACAAGAGATGATGGCGGCCCTGCACCTATGGGTGTTGGTGCAATCGGTCGAGACAAAGGTGGCGACGAAGGGAAGAAAGGCAAGCCTGGCAAGCAGGACAAGGGAGTCAACAAGGGCGGCAAGTTCGACAAAGCCAAAGGCAGCAAGACGCAGCCCAAGAAGTTCAATGGCGAGTGCTCCTACTGCTACAAGTGGGGACACAAGAAAGCAGACTGCAGGTTGCTGGCCAAAGACAAGGCCAAGAGAGAATCAGGCGGTGGCGGAAAAGGAAAAGGGTCAAGCACCAATGCTGTGACGGCCACCCAGGTTTCTGCAGCAGCTTCAGGATCACAATCCCCTGGCGGAGGAGGCACTGCAAGCGCCAACGCGGTGTACTACTGGCTGGATGACTCCGAACCACGTGTCTCTTGGGCTGATGCCTCTGAGGAGACCTTCGACATCGAGGACGACTACGATGACGCTCGATGGGTCATGATGATTCACACCCAGGACAACAAGCCCCTTGGCAAAGGAGTTTCAGACTGGCACCTGTTAGGACACAGTTGGCCCAATGAAGAGTTCAAGTACCTCCTATGCGCCTCTGGCAGTGATGAGCATCTATGCAGGCCTTCATTTGGTGGAGACAAGTACACCATGAAGAGCGACGCCCAGCTTCTCGGCATTTCAGGGCAGAGCTTGGGGCAACTTGGCAGGAAGCGAGTCTACTTCAAGATCATCGGCGAGAACCACCAGTACCTCAACGTGATCACCAAGTTCAAGGTGAGTGAGAATGCCAGCAAGGATGTTGTGAGTGTTGGCAAGATGAGCAAAAGAGGGTTCACTGCAGACTTGACTGACAGGTTCCGCCCATTCCTGTCGCATCCTGACCTGGACTACAAGATCCCCTTGTACCTCTACAAGAACTCGTACTACATCAAGGTCAGAGATGATGAGGCAATGCCAATGGATGCTATGCCAAATGCAGTGACGACCCCAGCTGAAGGTCAAGGAGAAGAATATGATTGGGAGTACGCAGGTGTTGTCGATGAGGAGGAAGGCATGGAACTGGTGCCCCTACCTGATGAGCTTGCTCGAGATGAAGCTCACGCCCGTGCTAACAGACCCAGGTGGCTGACTTGCGAGAAAGGCTTCGAGAGTTGGATGAACCCATCTACGGAGACAAGCACACCTTGTGGGAACGGCTGAAGAAGGCCGAAGCAGCTTTGAGGGCAAGGCAAGCCAAAGCACGAGACTATGTGGAGAAGCAGAGCGCCCGGCAACAGGCTCTTCAAGAAGGTCGTGAACCTGATGCGAACTACGTTCCGGTTCCTCAGATGCCGGACACCGAAGAAGTTGAGAGACATTTGATCACTCACATCCCCCCGGCAGCTTGGTGTGAGTACTGCGCACGTGGTCATGCCTCTGATGAGCCACATCGTCGACTGACGGTTGAGCAGAAGCTGGCAGACAACCACTTTGAGCTGGACTATTCGTTCTCGAAGACGGACACCAGCCTGGCAGAGAGCGAAGACAGCAGCGACACAGTCCTCTCCATCGTCGACAGTGGCACCGGCATGGCACTGGCTCTCAGCATTCCTGGCAAGAACTTGGAGATGCCATATGTTGTGAGAGTGATTACCTCATTCATCACCCAGCTCGGCTACACCACAGTGAAACTGAGGAGCGACAATGAGCCTGTGATCAAGAAGGTTGTGGCCAAGATTGCAGCGGCCCTGCGAGAAGGGAAGGCTCCTGGTGGCTGGACTGAAGATCATCTTTGAAGAAGTTCCAAGGTATTCGAGCCAAAGCCTTGGACATATGGGAGCATTTCAACGACTCCTACGAGGTGATGTGTTGACATTGAGATACTGCGTTGAGGCAGAGTATGGCACGACACTGCACACATCCCACAACCTGTGGCCTTGGCTGGTGAGATGGTGCTCGATCATTCGAAGCAGATCATTCGAAGCAGATTTGCAGTGAAGGCGAACCAGAGGACAGCTTACCAAGACGCCTTCGATACCAGCTACACGGCACCACTGGTACCCTTCGCAGAGACAGTCCTGGTCAAGATCCCCGCGAGCAAAAGCAGAAGATCACACAACAGGAACGTCATCACGAAGGGCGACACAACATGGAGGAAAGGCATCTTCCTTGGGAGAAGTGTGACCAGTGGAGAATACCTGATTGGCACCGAGGAGGGCACGATTTCAGCCCGATCAATTCGAAGATTTGCAGTTGAAGCCAAACGGCGTGACAGGGAGCTCATGGACAGCGTGATGGGTGTTCCTTGGGACCAAGGCACCACCGTCGGCAGACCCAAGAGAAAGCAAGAAGCTGTTCTGCCTCCCACACCTCAGATTGCTCCAGCAGAAGAAGAAGGCGAAGTCCAGAGCAAGACTCCTCGACTGGAAGTGGCAGAAGACACACAGGTCCCAGAGACTGCAGAAGCAACTGGTTCCGGCGTTGTGCGGCCTTGGCACACTACCTCAGGTGAAGCACCTATGGATGTCCAGATCTCAGCAAGACGAGCTTGGTCAGGCGGAGGAGATGAAAGACCTGAAAAGAAAGCACGCGTGGGAGGAATCTTTGTTGGTGCGCTCTACAACCCGACGGAGGACATCGTGGTTGGTGAAGAGGAGGTGGAAGATGTGCGCATGGACTCAGGTGACGAGGAGAACAAGCCCCTCTCAGCTGAAGAGATCAAAGAGGGCGACGAGGAGGAGTTCAACAAGATGGACAAGTATGAGACCTACATTCCTGTGGCCTATGAGAAGGGCATGGTGTTGGATGCAACATGGGTGCGGAGGAGGAAACCAGATGGATCGGTTCGATGCAGGTATTGCTGCAGAGAGTTCAAACGGGGTGATCCACGGACAGATGTTTTTGCAGTAGCTTCAAGCACTTCGACCTCCCGCATCATCGACGTCATGTGAGTGAAGATGGGATACAGCCTTTTGACAGCTGATGCTGAAAATGCATTCTGGCAAGTTCCCATCCAGGAGGAGGCCTACCTGCAAGCGCCCAAAGAGTGGATCGAGAGACAGCTCGAGAAGGGTGTCACCCTGCCGGAGAATGTGGTCTGGAAGCTCAAGAAGGAGTGGTATGGCAGGCGCGTTGCAGGGCAAGCATTTGTTGAATGGACTGCAGGTCATCTGAAAGATTTGAAGTTTGAGCGAAATCCTGCGGCGCCCTGGTTGTTCTTCAATGCAAACAGTGGGGTGGTGGTTGAAGTTCACATGGACGACATCTTTGCCACTGGACCCTACAAAGCTTTGGTCGGCTTTGAGAAGGAACTTCGTGGGCGCATCAAGATGAAGAGTCAGATCCACATGCAGAAGCCCGGAGAGAAGTTCACGCGCCTCAAGAGGACGAGAGAGATCCACGAGGACGGGATTTTCCTGACACCTCGAAGCAAGTACATCACAGACTTGCTGAGCATGCTCGGTTTGAGCGAGTGCAACGAGGCTCCGACGCCCTACATGCACACTGAGGTGAAAGATGGCAAGAAGCTGACCATGAGCAGGTGAAGCTTTTCCGTGCTGGAGTTGGCCTGGCATTGTACCTCTCCTACGACCGGACAGACATCCAGTTTGCAGTCCGGGAGATACGAAAGACATGAAGGAACCATGTGATGGCAGCGTGATCAAGTTGCACCGACTTGCCACTTACCTCCAGGGCACGAGAGACTATGGTGTGTGGCTTCCCCGCAGTGGGGAAATGGACAAGCTCATCATCCACTCGGACACGGATTGGGCGAACTGCAAGAAGACGCGCAAGAGCTGCGCGTGTGCAATGTTCATGGTTGGCAACTGCCTGATCTACAGCTACGCAAGGTCATTGCAGATGCTTTGCCTGAGCTCAGGCGAAGCAGAGTTCAACGGCGGAGTGGCTGCTTGTTCAGAGGGCATCTTCACGAAGGAGATCTTCGGCTTCGTTGGCAGCCCTTTGAAGATGGAAGTCTACTTGGATAGCAGCGCCGCCAGAGGCGTGTTTCAGCGCCAAGGTGTCGGCCGAATCAGACACCTGGAAGTCAAAAGCCTGTGGGTGCAGGAAGCACTCCAGAGGAAGCTGTTTTCGCTGCATGCGGTCCCTTCCCAGGAGAACACGGCGGACTTTGGCACGAAGGCTTTGGCCGTGAAGAGATTCGTTGAGCTGCGCCAGAAGATTGGCATTGGGAGCTACGAGATGGTCGAGAAGCAGCCCATGATTCAGGACAAGGAGAACTACAAGAGCGTGGCTGCAGTGAGTGCAGTGGGAAATGGCATGACTCGCCATGCCTTGATGGTGGCTTTGCTGACCCTCCTTCAGTCAGCAGAGAGCTTTGAGATTGAGCTCAATGTGGAGAAGAATGACTGGGTCTTCACTGACCTTGGCCTGGGCATTTGCGTGGTGTTGATGCTCCAGAGCCTGATGCTTTGGTTCTTCTTCAAGTGCATCACCAGGCACTTCCAAGTTCATGCAACCTTGAGCCTTGGGACAAAGCAAGTCCAGACGGCGGAGAAGGGAGTTGATTGTGAGATCAACACCTGGTCGAGCAAGGTGTATCACCTTGAAGGAAGAGATGTTTTTCACGTTGACACAACGTGCCCACGACTTGGCCAGAGGTCCAGGTCATTCGACGCACTCAGGCTGTGCATGCAAGGCCTGTAAAATCTCGGATTTGTGGTGAGATGTTTTTCCGCTCGATGGAATGGCGATGAAGGCCCCATCCCCCTTCCAAGTGGGGTGCAGAGCGGTACATGTCATCCTGTACAGTCAACTAACCTCATACATACCTAGCCCCTTTGAGGTCCAAAACAGCGCGCTACCCGCTTGCAGCGTTCCTTTTCTATAGCCCAATGTCAGATTTAGTTAGCGAAACGAGGTAGGAACACCCCGAGAACGAGATGGGCATCAATTGCGCCATTTGTTTGAAATGGGTTCGTTAATGACATGTTTAGCTGGTGAAACGAGGTAGGAACACCTCTCGAGAACGAGATGGGTATCCATTGCACCAAACAGATACAGGAATGGAGAACGAGATTACACCCCAAAAACGATGCGAGATTGGAGAACGAGGTAAGGAAGGCCCATGTGATAACTTAACGAAATATGTTCCATCGCTCATATAGGGAAACGTAGAGTTGGAAGACCGCATGTGTTTAAGTCTAACGAAGTCATTCATGCACTGCATAGTCATACTCAATATGATGGAGATCATCTTCAGAATGACGCAATTTTGAGGGCGGCGCAAAATCGAGCAATATAATCCAAAAGCCAAGTGCCCAAGCATCCTTCTCGATGCTGAGACTCAGTATTGGATGCAAGGCAAAAACAAAAATGCGTTGCCTTTTCACCAAAGCACCCAAGTCAAGGCCATGGTCAATGAACGCAATGGCCGAGCCCTGGTCCTTGGAGATGCACGAGAAAAGGCGGAAAGGTGTCGGCGACAACTGCTTTCAAGTCTGCCTGATCTTCAGGCCGGGGGCAAGACTCGGAGGCCTTCTAGGAGCAAGGACTCTACTAGGGGCTCCTGGCCTTACTACTAGGAGCAAGGACGCTACTAAGGAACAAAGGGCATCGCTTCTAGGAGCAATGTCGTTTTTTGGGACATATTGGGACCATGATTGCAGCACTTCGACACTTGTTGAAACAATCTCTTTTGATTCTGGATGAAAGCTGCAAACCCGTGCAATGTGCCACTTTTGAACGTTGCACTGAGGCAAGGTATGGCATGAGTTTTGAATAGCAAGCGATGTGACTAATTCGGATAGGTACACAGGTGGACAAATTTTGTTCTTGTTTGTTTGCTTTGACGTGGCCTTCCAAGGCTTTAGAGAGAGAGAGAGAGAACCGTGTTTTGCTTATCAGAAGTAATGTTCTTATTTTCATTTTGCTCTCTTTGCAGCTGCAAAACCATCACATGCCATTTCACCGTTTGTTGTCCGCGACATTTTGCAGGTTGTGATTGAACCTATGGCATGAGCAGCGTGAACACCCTCGTTTGAGCGACTTGAGTTTGATGGACTGATCGGCTGCACCGGTGGGACTGACCTCAAAGACTATGGCCTTCGCATCTCTCACCATCCAGCGCGAGCAAATGCGAGCAAAAGAACGCCGTGAAGCAATTCGACTCATTCTTTTGGGACAACCAAGATCAAAAAGTATTTAAGGAATAACAGAAGACACTCTGTAGCACTTGTCAGATCTTGTCAATCCGAAGATACTTCTGACTCGCCTTTTTTGAGTAGAGTTTCATGGCGCAGAAATGGCCAGAAACATCCAGAAACTAGATCACGCAGATTTTGGCAAGCCTTTGGTCAGGCCTACTGTCATAGTTAGATGTAGAATGATTTCGATTGATTCCAGGAGCTGTTGAAAGCAGCGATTCAAGCAGAGTGCAGAGCCAAGTTCTGTCGTTCTGCTGACAAAGCTCTATCCCGTTGACTTTGAATTTGCAGACCCTTATATGAGTCGTTTTCACAATGACCGTCATTTACATTGGTGTTCCTTGGAAAGCGAGAAAGAATACACCCTCATGTGCAAGTGATAGCACATGTCCGATAGGCTCAATGTGATTTACTTGCTTCCTGAAAGCGGTGGCCGTCTTCCAGATGGTTCCCGAGTGCTTCTTCAGGAGATTGCCAAGAGCTGCTTTGTGTCCCTGAGAAAGTGGTTGCGATTTCGTTGTGAGGACCTAGTTGCAAGGGCAGATCTCAACGGCAAGGCTGGCAAGATCGCATCATGGGCCTTGGCTGGCTCGCTTGTGTTGTCGTTGGATCAGCCTGTCAAAGAGTGTAGAGACTCCCGCGGCATCAAGCCACACCTTCGACGGACTAGAAAGCACTAGTAACAAAGGGCATCGCCACTAGGAGCAAGGACACCACTAGTAGCTCCTGGCCATACTACTAGGAACAAGAAGCTACTAGTAGCGTCCTTGCTGCGATGCCGCGATGCCCTTTGTTACTAGTAACTTTTTTGCCCGGCGGAACGGAGTGCTGCCAGAACACCGCTTCGAATCTTGCAGTTGTTGTGATGGTTCGACTTGACTGACATGCCAGGATTTTGCTTTGCAGCGGTACACAGTTGAGATTGAAAAGGAAGAGAAGAAGAAGGACGCTTCTGGAATCATAAAATCAGACAAAGTGTGCTACTCAACGCACAAGACTTGCCAGCACCGTGATGAAGCTTGTTTGAGTTTGAAGGAAACCGAAGCTCCAGCGAACCCTGACATGTTCGGTTTGGGAGTTTGGTGCTCAGAAGCTAAGCTTCTCAGCCAGAAGCTAGGCCTGGATGTTCTTATCCAAGCATCTCACCCTTTGAATAAAGTTGTCCCTCTCTTAAATTAAGATTATCTAGACAGAATATTATCTTGAGTTCAATGAATTCATTAGCAAGGTCACTCATGTTGGCAGCATCCCCGACAGATTCACGCTGAGGATGTTGAAGAGGATGAAGAGGATGACACTGAAAAGAACCAGTGAGGTACCCAAAGCAAAACCTGCAGACAATCCATTCGAAGTGCTTTTGGGTGAGAATGTCGATCCACCATGATTGCTCCAGATTTATGGAGGTGTTTTTCTCGACTGTAGCTTCTTGCTCCTAGTAGCGATGCCCTTTGCTCCTAGTAGCATCCTTTCTTGACTGGAAGTTGCTGCACTTTGGCCCAGCTCAGGATTGAACTGGCAGTGCCAAAGAAACTAATGGCTGGCACCCAAGAAACTTACGACATCTGGTAACACATTTGAGCAGCGATCAAAACTTCCAGCAACGATTTGAAAAGAGGTTAATGTATGAATATGTATGATGCATTCAAGAAAGCTAAACATTACATGCAGTCGCGAAAGATTCGCGAAACATCTTACGAATTTGCTCCGGAAAGAATGCAAAGGCTTGCGAATCTGTTCCGCGCAAGCCTGCGAAAGTATTTTTGTGCAGGATGCAGCGTGCGAAAGCCAAAACTCGCCGCGAAAGTGTTGCGAAAGGAACTTGCGAAAGAAGAACCCATTAGAACAACAAATTATCGATAGGAATTGAACCGCGCTCATTCGCTTGGCGAAGCATAGCTTGAAGTGTTTGGGGTGCTTGGAGCCAGTTGGATTGCAGGTCCTACCAAAGAACGTTCTGGTAGACTTGAATACTCCTAAGAAGTCCTTGGATAGCCACAAGCTCAGAAGCAGCAGCAGATGGAACGAAATTGCTCAAACACAAGGGAACTGGACCTGCTACTGGACCATAGTCACAAGATGTTTGCGGCCAGAGTTGGTTTGTTCCCCAAACAGCTTCAAGACCTGGTGTCCTTGGTGCTTCAAAGCTTTGTCACAAGTGACATGTCTTTCCTGCCTGCTGCTGTGAAAACAAGGCCTTGTGAAGGACTGGAATGTTTGGAGAAAGAGACCGCGATCTGTAAGTGCAACTCAGGAGTGACGGGGATGAAGCACAAACAAACGCCATCGCACAAAGCAGCAAGTGTTCAACCATGCCTTCTTTTGTTGGTAAAGTATCTCCAACGTTTATGACTTCCTGGGAGCTTTAGCATTGCGATCTTGGTACCGTTGATGCACAAAGGATGCAGAAGCTGTGGCTGCGGCGCTTGGTCCGCCACTAGAGTTGCGTGCTCAACTGACTCAGTTTCCAAAGCTATCCAAAGCTTCTTTTGCAAGGGTTTCCCGCAGGTTTCCACCGGGTAGACCGGGTAGACAAATTATTGCGTTCACTTCGCATGAAAGGTCCATGGCCAATTTCCTGCAAGATGCGGCACAAGCAGTCGCAACAGGGACCGGTAGAAACGATGCTCTTGCCAGTTGTCACACGTTCTCGTTACTAGGGGCTCCTGGCATCGCTACTAGGAGCAAGGACGCTACTAGGGGCTCCTGGCCTTACTACTAGGAACAAGAGGACGCTACTAGGTGCTCCTGGCTACTAGGGGTTTTGCGTTTGCCGTTTCATGACACGATGACACACCCCACCATGAAGGAGTGCAACTGGTAGGGATGGTGCTGAGCTGATTGCGGATGACACTTGGCAGGCACGATGAACGTGTGCAATTTGCGCATGCTGTGCCCCCTTTTGCAGAAGTTTGAACGCGAAGTGCACAACAACTTACGCATTTCTTGAGATTTGTAGTCACCATTCAAATTGGTAGCCAAAGCCAAACCAGTCGGCATTGCCCCTCTTCACGGATTAATTTGGAGTACGGCATAGAACATCCTCTAAGTTTTGTATTCTTTGGAATTATATATAGTCTAGCTGCTAGCTCTTGTGTCTTGTATTGATTTGATTGCGGAATACCCGTTTGTTTGTTAAACTCCTTCAAGAGTCAGTCCACCTGAAGCACCCCGAAAGGCATTGTCCAATGCTCGCAATTTGGCGGCCAAACTGCTGGGAGAAGAGCCACAGGACATGGCGACCATTTCATGACGACATGGTTCACACATTGGATCATTGGATCATAAAATAGAATGAAAAAACAAATAATATGTATTATAATATATATATATATAGTCAATATAACTATTATATAGCTTTAACCGTCTCGAAATGGCACAGGAGCCTCCCAAGGCACCGCCGCTGAATGAGCCCGCTCCGGCACTTGCCGAAAGCCAAGAGATACATATGACAAGTATGATCCGTTGAACCAGGTTTGCGGTTTGCAGTAACAAGAAGCTACTAGTAATAATGGCATCGCTATTAGGAGCAAGGACGCTACTAGGGGCTCCTGGCCTTATTACTAGTAACAAGAAGCTACTAATAGCAGTATTATAAAGTTACGAAGGTTTGAAGAACGTGTCAAAACCTTCACACAGCATCTCGCGGTGAAGTTTCTGAGGTCCCGTTTGAGAGCGAGACCGTGTCTCAGGTCACAGCAGCATTTGTTCTCCTCTCATTCTCTCTCTCTCTCTCGTTGCTGGGATTTGAATCACCTCGTTGCTTGTGTTCAGGCGCTTAAAGAAGCGGCCGAAGTGGCACAAGCGAGCATTGAGCTCAACAAGGAGCCCCATTGGTTCAAGTGGCGTCAGATGGAAGCCGCAGCCTGACAGCGTTGCTGGGAATTGGAATCGTAGGACAAGAAGGAGAAGAAGAGGTGCGGTTCTGTGCAGCAAAGTGAAGCACCCAGTTGTCACTGAACTTGAGGATACGCCGATGCACTTGCCCGTGTTTTTGAACGGGAGCGGTAGGGCATGCTGACGACTTACGGTTTTTGGTGTGCAGATCGCGCTCTCGAAAAAGAAGGCGCAAGCGCTCATCGCACGTAGCTCAGTCCATGCCTTCCACCCATACCTTCAGAGGGCATGAAGATGCTGGAAATCGGCCTTGAAATCCAAGGTCAAGCTCCAGCAGTGGGAAGAAGAAGCGGAAGAAGTAGATTTTGGAGTGAGCCCAATTCCATCATGAATGACCAGCAATTGCAATGCAAATATATGTGTGTCTATTTTTTGCGTCAATTAACATCAATCACAGCATGAAAGCATCCATTGCATGGAAAATGACATGGAAACAACATACACGTTGCGGCGGAAAGAGATCAAAAGGTGCCTGTGCTTTGTTTGCTCTACAAAATTAGGAATTTGTCCGAAAAGATAAAGATCATTGCATCCTTATAATGATAGAAACTGTATAAATCTTATATGATATGAATATAGGTCACGAAAGCGATCTCCGAAGGAGGTCAGCTGAAATTTCAATTTACTATTAGATGGGTCAAAATCGAAGAGATTTATTGAAAAAATAGTTATTTAAAGGCTTACGCCTAACAGCCGGGCGCCGGCCCACTTGGGTCTGTGGGGCGTATGTCACGCTTATGTTGGCCTTGGTGGGGCCTATATTGAGCAAAGTTAAGCTATTTGGCGCGCATCTTCGCCCTAGGTTGGGCCAAGTTGGGCCCATGTGGTCTATGTTGGGCACATCTTGGGCCCATGTGGAGCCTATGTTGGCCTATGTTAGGCGTATGTTGGCCTATGTTGGCCTAGGTTGGGCCTATGTTGGCGTATGTTGGCCTATGTTGGCTCTACGTCACCTTCGGGGCCCTAAAAACAGCTTCCAGAGGCTCGGGAGGGCTTGTAGGCTGCATGGCTTCGGATAGGCTGGCTGTAGCCTGGCCAAAGGCGTTGAGGTTTTGAAGACGCCTGGACGTCACCCCCGGGACCCTAAAGCAAGAGGTGCAGGCCGAGGTGGTAGCTTCTAGAGGCTCGGGAGGGTCTGTAGGCTGCATGGCTTCGGATAGGCTAGCTGTAACCTGGCCAAAGGCGCTGCGGAGGATTTGAAGGCGCTTGGACGTCACTTTCGGAACCCTAAAGAAAAGAGGTATAGGCCGAGATGATATTTTCGAGAGGCTCGGGAGGGTCTATAGGTTGTATGGCTTCGGACAGGTAGATTAGCTGTAGTTTGGCTAAAGGCCTGGCCAAAGGCACTGAGGGGTTGAAGACGCCTGGACGTTACCTTCGGAACCCTAAAGAAAAGAGGTGCAGGCAGAGGTGGCAACTTCTAAAGGCTCGGGAAGATCTGTAGGCTGCATGGCTTCGGACAGGCTAGCTGTAGCCTGGCCAAAGGCGTTGAGGATTTGAGGGCGCCTGGACGTTACGTTCGGGACCCTAAAGAAAAGAGGTGCAGGCCGAGGTGATACCTTCTAGAGGCTCAGGAGGGTCTGTAGGCTGCATGGCTTTAGATAGGCTAGCTGTAGTCTGGCCAAAGGCGTTGAGGATTTGAGGGCGCCTGGACGTTACGTCCGGGACCCTAAAGAAAAGAGGTGCAGGCCGAGGTGATACCTTCTAGAGGCTCAGGAGGGTCTGTAGGCTGCATAGCTTTAGATAGGCTAGCTGTAGTCTGGCCAAAGGCGCTACGGAGGGTTTGAAGGTACCTGGACGTCACCTTCGGGATCCTAAAGAAAAGAGGCGTAGGCCGAGGTGGCAGCTTCCAAGAAAGGTGGAGATGCTAATGTCAAGGTTGTACCCTACGGTGTCCTAGGCATCTCCCGCCTAGGCTGCGGCTAGGCTGGGATCGGCGGATAAATGGCCCCTCCCTATCCCCCCGCGCTTCGTTTGAAAAGAATTATATCATTTGTTTACGGGCCCGGCTTTGGCCGTGTTTTCCCGAAGGATCTTTCTTTTTTGAAGGAAAGAGAAATTTTATGGAATTCGATTTTTTTATCGTCGATTTCGCATCGATTTATGCGTTTTTACTTATAGATCGATTCGATGTTATTTTTAAAATATTTATATTGACGGAGGGGAAATTAGAATGGGTAAATAGATATTTATATGGAGGAATAATAAAATCCCGTCGTATATTATTTTGGCAATTCATTTTATTTGCGCGGATTTTGAATGTAATTTTTTGCTATATTTTTAATTTTTATTATTATGTAAAATATGAAAATTTAGGATTTTGAAAAAAAATATTGATTTTCTGTAGGAGTTTTTTTTTATCGTACGATCTTCGTTTATTTTGGTTTGATATTGCATGTTGTATAATACGTGCTTTTGCATAATTTATAAATAAGAAATCCTTTTGATTATTTAATTTATATTTATATAGTGGATACCATATAAATACAATACGTAAAATGTAGGGTTGCACTCTTGGGAATATTTGCATATAAATAGTTCCTATCTTTCTATTTTTATTCCTGGGCGGAAGCCTTTCTGGAACCATGGAAGAGTTGACTCGGGATTTGCTCTTTCTTTAAGTTTTAGGATCTTGAGCTTTTGGTACTTGATTATTTCTCGATTTTGCTGTTTTCTCCTGATCCTTTTTCCTTCTTAGACTCTTTACCTCTTGGTATATACCTATGCTTATTGGAAAAATTGCAGTTAGAATGCTAGGAATTAATATAGAGCCGCAGCTACTAGCACCTATAGAACCACCTCCCGGACATGAAGATGCTGATGAGATTGATAATAAAAGCACCTACGAATTCACTGATCCTAGCGCCGGCGGTGGAATTGCATTATTATCGGGTATGAAGGAGAGCAAAACCATATTGCTTTTCTATACTCCAGGTTTTCCGTTCTTTTAATAGGCATGGTCTGATAGTGCAATGTGAGAGTCTACTATATATATATCGTATAATGAGTGGCTCGCTGTATTTATGAGGTTTCAAGTACGATGCGAATTTTTCAAGCGGAGCTTCCCATTGTCTGATTATGGGGGCGACATTCCTACTGCCAAGAAGGTTGCCTTAAAATTCAAGGAATTGTCCGACAAGATGGCGCTTCAATTTGATGTCCGCAAAGGGAAGGCAAGCAGGCATGGATCAGACGGAGTGCAATTATCTATATATATATATATCTAGGTGCGCAAACACCATCATTCACCCATTATATAGAAAGATATGCCTATATATGTACATACATTTTAATTGTTCGTTTATGTTTTTTCCAGGAGCGGAATTCCTGGCTACAAAACAATGGTGTCCTAGATCTAAAGAAAAGATTAGTGAGCCAGCAACAAATTGAGATGCTCGAACATCTTTGCGAAGGACGTATCCGTCCCGGGCTCATACTCCTTTGAAAAAATTTGAAGAGAATTGCAGGTGTCTCTTTCCCTCTTTCTCTCTGTTTCTCTCTCCCTCTCTCCATTTATATATATATATATAATCTTTGCATAATTGTTCTCCTCCCATGTGTTTTAAACCTAAACCCGGATGCCGATGACTATGAACCCAGTGAGCCACCAGATGGAGCTGTGGATAATGAACATGAGGCCATCCTTGCAGAGGAGGCAGCTTTGGAAGCTATGGAGGAATGCGGTCGTAAAGAAGTGCTAGGGTTCAGCAGCAGCGAGGAAGAGTTGCCGGCCATGGTGCCTACAGGGGCTGTGCGGGTGAAGAGCTTCTCCCACCGGCCAGCCTATCAAAAGCTGGAGTCCCTTGGTTTGGTGGCCTTGCCTCCAGGCGGCTTGCATTTGAATTATCATACCTCCACGCGAACGTGGACCGGATATCATCCAGAGCAGGGCTCTAAGAACCTATGCTTCACGCATGGTGGCGAGCTGAAGCGGATGGAGGGTGAGTGCCTGCTTCTAGTGATCCGGGACCTCTTGAAATTTCATTTGGATAAATTTCCGCGAGATCCCATGTGGAAAGCTCAATACAAGAAGGTATTGGGGGTTCTTGCCACAAAGGGAGATCTGTGAGGTTCACTTCCGTTTTCTTGCTCAGAGTTGTTTTTTGCAACCTGTGTAATTCTAAGGTCCCACAGTTAGAATGTGTGAGTTGATGAGCAAGGAATTTCGAACTCAAATATGTATATTTTCTGTCTATGCCTATGTGTACATCATATATGGGGATGGCCCTGCCCTTTGTTCATTCAAATCAATTTCTGAACAACCCATTTTATATATATATATTTGCATGCACATATATACATATTATATATATAAACTATATATATACTAGAATCTGTCTTCCTGACCCTCTTTGAATATAGTAATTTTCCTGTATACGGCAGGGCCCAACGGGGTTTGGATGAGGTCTGAAGCAGCAAACTTGCTGGAACGGCCGCTTACTGAATTCGCATGAATTCGGAATGGAACAGGATCTTTCGATGGAGCATCCGGAAAAATGCAAAAAAACGTGGGAAAACAGGGCAAATCTGCAATCCTTTTGCCACACATTCTAAGTGCGTTGTTCCCACATTCTAACTGCCTGTTTCGACGATCATTCTATCTCTGGGGCTTCGTACCTGAGTTCTAACTGTGCAAAAAAGACCGATATCAGCCGGTCATTCTAACTTACATTCCGGCGGTATATATTCCGAATCAATTCTATTATATTGATAATTTTGTAGATATATATTTATATTACGATTTATATTATTTTGAATTTTCTTTTTGAGGCTAAAATCCATATAAGTTAATTATTTTAAATATAATTTAGATGTATTGTATTATGTTTGTGGATCTTAAATAATTTATTTTTCGTATTTTAATTTATTATATATTATATAAATATATATATATATATTATTCGTTATATTAATTCTAAGGGCTTCGCCTTGGTGTCGCCGATCTCTTTATTATTTATTTGCTTTCTATAAAACAGTTGCTTGGCATTGCTAGAGGTTTATTCTTAAGGTTCCGGTAATTTATGTGCTAGCGGCTCCGTCCCAAGGCTCTTGCGTGTAGGTCGTATGTAGCCGTAGCGGCGTGCAACGGGGAGGGTTTCCGGGATATGCTTGACGTTACACCTAACGTCCCCTCTGGTACGTTGCTTTCGGGAGCCCGGAATCCATAAAATACTTGCCTTATATTATTAGAGACTCACTCCTAAGGCCCCGCCAATCTATGTCGCCATAGCTTTCAGGGGGGTGCACGCGTGCAGCAAGCCAGCGGGTTTCGCAATGAGGGCTCTAGTTGCCTGGCATTGCCAGAGGCAAATGGTGTCCTAGTAATCTTGTGATGGTTTTCCCGTCATGTCATGTTGGTGTCCCGGTCACCTTGTGATGGTGTCCCGGTCATGTTGTGATTGTGTCCCAATCATGTTGTGACGGTGTCCCGGTCATATTTTGATGGCATCCCGATCATGTGATGGTGGCGCGGTCATGTTGTGATGATGTCCCGATAATGTTTTGATTGTGTCCCAGTCATGTTGTGATGGTGTCCCGGTCATGTTGTGATGGTGTCCCGGTCATGTTTTGATGGTGTCCCGGTCGTGTTGTGACGGTGTCCCGGTCATGTTTTGATGGTGTCCCGGTCCTGTTCTGATGTCCTGGTCATATTTTGGCGGTGTGCCGGTTATGTTTTGATGGTGTCCGGGTCATGTGATGGTGTCCCGGTCATATTGTGATTGTGTCCCGGTCATGTTGTGATTGTGTCCCAGTCATGTTGTGACGGTGTCCCGGTCATGTTTTGATGGTGTCCCGATCATGTGATGGTGGCGCGGTCATGTTGTGATAGTGTCCCGATTATGGTTTGATGGTGTCCCCGTCATGTCATGCTGGTGTCCCTTATGATGGTGTTTCGGTCATATTTTGATGGTGCCCTAGTATCCCGGTTATATGATAATGGTATCCAAGGAAGAGATGATCGACGTATTAAAAATAACAGTTGTTTCCAGATTTTTCTTTTTATTCCGGTTTATATCTTGCTATTAAAATCTCCAATTGGGCTAATTAAATATATCGATTCCCATTTATATATAAATTACATATCTCTCGAATTATAAATTCAATCGAAAATATTAAATCCATTAAAAACAATTAAATTCCCAAATACATTATAAATCTAAATACATTTATTTGATTTAATTTTTCCTATATATATATATATCCTTATTTAAATAATTTATTATGCCGAAAATCATTTTTTTTTCGTATTCCATTAATTATATTCAAAATCCAAAATTTCTTAATCAATCCTTTAATATAATTATATAAAATCTCATTTAAAATCACCGAAATAAAAAAATATTCATAACCTAATATAAACGAATAAACATTCGTTAAATATTAAAACTTGAGGCCAGAGGGGGTGAACGAAAGCTAGCTGGGCTTCCGGTGGTCTGCTGCTACTGCTGCTGCCGCTACTGCGCTAGGCGCTGCTGCGCTAGGCGCTGCTGCCGTGGGTGCTCTGCAGGCGCTGGGTCGTCTGCTGCTAGCGCTAGGTGGTCTGCTGCGGCTGCGGCTGCCGCGGCGTTAGGTATGCTGCTCCTGCTGCCGCCGCCGCCGCTTCCGCCGCCGGAAGTCGTTGGGCGCTACAACTACTTAATAAACCCGCTCACCGCGCGCAGAAGGGGGGGGGAGGAGTCGAACCGCGAGGGAAAGAGGTCCATAAGATTAATTTAATCAATTATTTAAGGTTTCTAAGATACATCCACCCCGTCACTTAACTTGCTAAAGCAAGAACAACTCCAGCTAACTAAGGCTAGCTTTCGTAATAAAACACCTATTATTAATTATATTTAATATCATATAATAAATTAAATACATTTAGTTAAGCATTAATTATATATAATATAAAAATAACCATATTCTATACATGAATATTAACATAAGGGGAATACGCCAAAGAATATTTCCTTATCTTCGAAAGCCCTTTCTGGTTTTCATGTTTCTTTAATGTTAGTTTCCATTTATGAATTATTACCCTTTATAACAATAAAAAAGCACCTCGCTCCCTAGGATTGTACCTTTACAAAAGAAGCTAAAAAATTTCCCCAAGTTCCTACCACAGTCGCACTAACAGGTGCCTCTTGGACACCAGAAGGTAGCCATCCGCTAAGCCGACACAGTGCATTAAATAAGATTGTACAAGTGTTTGACTTAGATTGTTTTTACGTATGAGCATTTTAGCATGTAAAACACATCATGCATGTATTAATATTCATATTGATTCAAGCATATTATATATATATATAAATATATATATAATATATTTAATTCATTATATTTAGATATATTTAATGTGTTTTTCTCAACATTTTGAGAACATATTTCTGAGTGAAACCCGCCAATATTGAAAGCTTATGTTTGGGCGATAAATGGAAGGGTGTTTGTTATTGGGTTTGTTGAAGTCTATTGGGCGGTCAGACATCTTTAAAGCGATACCCTGCGGAGAAATGGCAATGACATTCACGCATCAGTCGACCTCGGACAAGAAGGTTACTCAAGACCAAGATCAAAGGTCTATTGTACAATTTCAATGTTTGGGCCAGGCATGGCCAGGCTACAAAAACTATGTGGAACAAGTCGTAATAGTGGTCAGACCAGCTGCGCGAGCGTAGAGAGGTCCCTGCTGAGGTGGCTCGTCACTCATCATCATTCTGAGGTGCCTTATCTGCACGATTTGGCAGTACCATTGCCGTCATTACCGGTTTTGTATCGGACATGATGCTGCCAAGGATCTTGTTGCTGTTGGGGCCTTGACAATCGTTAGATTGATCATCAGCTGCAACACAATTTTAAAATGTAAGAAAGGTTGCGCCAAAATCCACCTTTCATTGCACACCCTTTTCATTACCTGGTTGTTTGATTTGTCCATGATGACTATGTTTGACCGAAACGGTTCAGCTTTCAGGTGCAGCTGCAGTCTAGGCGCTTGCATGATTGCTGCCTGGGCCCAATAATATCGAAGTAGATCGTTCTGATCGCGGCCTCATGTAAAAGCCGATGGTAGCGTCCTTCGATGTGTTCCTACCACTATAATTTGTTCAAACACCTTTAAAAAAAAACATCCAGAAACAGGAATCCAAGTCTAGTCGAGGAGCGTCATTGGGCTATCTTCAATATCACATCCTTTTGTCTCCAAAACCCACAGCCACATGCCCACCAAACCGATGCCGCTGACAGCACCTCGGCTATGCACAAAGCTGCGCGAAACTCCCAAACTAGCAATGGCCTCCAAACTACTAACGCAATGGCCTCCAACCTAATAGCAATGGCCTCAACCTAATAGCGATGGCCTCCAACCTACTAGTACAAGTAAGGCATTGCAAATGGCATTGATTCTTTTGTAGACTTTGCTAGGAGTGCACCCTCATCCAGTTCGCTCATTCTTTTTTCGCCATGCAGGAGTGCTCATTGCTCATGGTCGGCGGAGTTTGCTTTTGACCCCCACGCCTGCGATGTCAGGATCCTTGTTGGGTTTGGATGGTCTCCTTGACCGACCACGTGGCCCGCGCTTTGCCAAGGGAGGAAGAGCTTCCTCCTGCTGTGCCAGCTCAAGTTCAATGCCAGTTTTGCTCTCGATTCGGGCTTTCAAATCTTGCAGAACTCGAATAGTTGCCAATTTTTCTCGAGAAAGTAGATCCCAGTAAATGCCCTTTGGCTTGGCTGGCTGCCGTGCTTTGTCGACATGGATAGTCTGCGTCGGGGTAACAATGATATCCACTGGCACATCATGTTTCATCAGATTCTTGCCCTTTGGCGGGAAGTTTTCAGTTATCACTTGGCTATCATGAACTGTTGTTATCACAGGCGTGTTCTCATCAATCATCCCCAGCTGCCTCATCATGCCATACTCAAGCTCCGCAAATCCTTCTCCCTTACCCACTCGCATTCCTGTTTCGGGATTCACAGCTGATGAACCTATTACTACCACATCAATTTTGGTTTGATCGTCCAAGTCCATAGGCTCTGCCAATTGCTTCATACCTCCAGCTGTTGCAGCAAACTCGTACTTTTCTGGAGGCACAATGCCAGGCTTTATCCGTGAGAAAAAACCTGTTCGTAGCCGCGGTTGTGGTACATAGAGTGTCCTGAAAGAAAGAAAACACAAAAGCAAATCAATACCTGCAAAGTGAACAGCAAAACAAAACTACTAAACATTAGAATCACACAAGCAGCGTCGGAAGGGACTATCCAATTCGTTCCCATTGCTCCTAATTATGCACATAGCACCGGTCCAACAAGGAACGCTTCAGTCTCGTCTGAGTGGAGTTCAGTTCAGCTCTCTAAAGTGAGCCTAGTCAAACCATGACACCGCTAACAGGTGGCCTCGGCCTCGGCACACGACCCAACACAAAGAAAAGGCAACAATACTGGCGCGGAGCTGCACCAGTGAGGCTCTTTGGATCTAGTTTCAACATGTTTCAACCGGCTTTGCACATCCCAAGACCTCTTGGCAATATGCTTGCACCTTCACCCCTCAGACCTCAACTTCCTTTTAGATCAGTGATGGACAAGATATTAGTAACATCAAGCCGATTGGGCAAATCTTGTGAGGTAGCTCCGATACTGTAAATGCTCCTGCTTTAATCTAATTAGAAGGGGTTGAACTTCTGAAAACTTTCCGATCTGTGTAGAAGAAACTTCTCAGATCGTAAGGCAGCCACCCTGACGGCCTTCTGTGGAGTATCAGGGTTGACCTTGACCACCTTGGCATTGATAAACTCAGGCAGCTCTGCCAAACGTTCACCGGCTTTGGCAGACCCTTTGAAGTTGGGTATTCGGTGATGCACTGGCCGAGGAAACTCCGCCAAGTCATTGTCTTCCAAAAAGTTCCATACTTTCTTGCGCAAATCCCATTTCCAGGCCTTGCTGAATCAAGTTTGTCAAATATTCCAATGATTCAAAATACGAAAAGGCATCAACAAGAGCATCATCCCTATATATAAAGAGATGATAAATGACCAAGCTACTGTCTTCTCAGCGCGAATGTTGCCTGCTGCAGCCAAGTCCTTCAGCAAAATCCCAAGGCCGATTCATCCTACTGTAATTGTACGAGAGTCATGATAGTATTGAGCCTATCTTGATATGCACCTTCGATGAACATATTTGGTGTTTGACCTCTTGGTTCTCCTGGATGAGCTTCATGTATTCTTCCATCCCTTCGCGAGCTTCCTGATCAAGTCTGAGGCGCTCTTCCTCAGTCTCCTCTGAAAGGGCCCGACATGCCACAAGGGTAGACACATGTAGGAAACCATATTATCAGAAACACAAAACATAAAACAATGAACAACACCTTTCCCAGTCTGCACCAATCTGAAAGCATTTTGAGGCAAACTACACCCCGTTGCACTGCCAAAACACATTGATCAACCTTGATGTAATTACGATATCTCGTCCACCTCGTGATGCATGCTGCAATGCAATGCTCCTGTTTCCTTTGCCTCACTCGCACACAGGTGCGGCGTTGCAGTGCTCGGCATGCGCAAGTCCCACATGCCACCTGCGCCACCTGACAGGTCTAGAAATGCCAAGATCCTCGATTAAATACAATTTTTGCAAGGGCCGAGATACTTCCGGTGATGCATTGTGTGGACTTCACTGATTCAATCTCTATACTGCAATTATAGTTAATCTCTATACTGCAAGTATAGTTAAATATTATTATACTATATTATATACATATTCTATTGAGTTTGGGTTCCATTCGTGGTCAAAGTCTGGTCCATTCCAGGCCTTGGATGGCGGCAATTCTGGCCACCTCCTGGGCCAGACGTGAGGTCTGGCCCCAAATGTAGCAGGGACTAATGCTCGAGGTGCTCTCCAAGACATGCTCGAGGTAAGCTCCAAGACGTGCGCCATGGCTGCTCTCGTTGGTCTTAATCTGGCTCCAGTGATGTCTTTGATTACAGATTTGCTGCTAGGTCCTAGGTTGACAAACACAATAAACTAACAAGCAATTACTAGGTTGTCTCTGGTGCGTGTTCAATGAGCAGCTGTGTTACTGTATGCGTTTGTCTCGCTTGTGCCAGTTATCAATTGCTGTTGGATTCTTGAGGTCTCTTCAGGTCTCAGGTCTGAGTAGAAAACGGCTATCAGATCTAAAGGTTTCGCATTGAAGCGAGACATCAGTTGTTCACAACTGTTGTCAAACTCTACTAACTCTACTGGTACCCTCAAAAGCAATGGACTGAGGGAATCCAGGGAGAGCAGCTGAGTAGTTCTTTTTTCAAAGAAGAAGTGGCTGAGGCCAGCACCAAAGAGAACACAAGACAAATGTAAGTTCCTTAGCTGATCTCAAACATGCAGCGGCAATGCTACTACTGGTAGTGCTAAAACCACGAAGGTGTGGCATCCCAGCCCCAAGGCATAGTGTTAATATGAGTTGCAGGAATCGGGCGATGAGCACTATGAAGAAGCAACTGATCCATTTGATTACCCCGCAGGCCGACAGTGCCTGTCCTCACGTCACAGGTTTGGGCTAATCTTCCTTTCATCTGACTTGCATCGCCATTTCTGTTGTGTTCGCCTGTGTGCCACAACACGCCAATGTAAAGCCCTTATTAGCTTGTCAGTGAGATTGTCTTGCTCGTGTTCCGTATCTTCTTACAATTTGGATACTGTAACTCCTCGAATCTCCATGGGATAGATTTCCGAAAGCCAGAGCCAGGTTATCGCACCAAGGCCATAGTTCCAGGAAACCACAAAAAGACCTCAGGTGTGGCTAGTTCCAAGCATCACTTCCAAGGTCAAACCAAGGTCGCCGAGGCCAAGACTAAAGAACAGGAAGGCCATGAGACCCTGAGATTCTGCTGGCCTCAACAAACGACAGCACTCAATCATATGTTGTCGTTCCATTCAGCGTGTACTGTAGTTCCAACTTCCAACGGTTAACACGTGCCCTGAGACTGAGAGCTCCCCCAAACTGGTGAATGCGAGCGAGGAGCAGCATGTGCACCACGTAAACCATTGAAGCCTCAAATAGCTTGCTGAATTCAGTGGCAAGTAGGCAGAAAGCACATTATCCCTGAATATTTCGCTTCTGGGCTCAGTCAGACTCGCTGGAGAACACTACAATCTTCTTGCGAAGAAAGGGCCATTGCAAGTGTTTGCGTGGCGCTTCCCCAAAGCAGCAGCGTCCGTCTTCCCAGGCTATCTACCAACTTTGTGCTCAATACCTCAGCAGGACAGCGTGCCAAACATACTTTCACATCTATCAACCACGTCTGACAAATGCAAGTCTCCGTGAAGTTGAAAGCAATCCCCTATGCCTATGTTGCACATGTTTGTGCATATGTCTCATAAACATTCATAAACAAAGGCCAGAAAGGCTGTAGTGGTGTCTTTCTATGCAGGAGAAGGGCGGATACCAAAACATTGGCCACACACATCCTTGGGTCAGAGTGCACGGGACAAGAACCCTGCAATTGTCCTCGACAATTTATGGGATCTTCACAATGCACCCCTGCCAACCAAGGCTCAAAACTGATGCCAGAGTGAGGCTGTTTGCAGGAATACCGGCTTGCGCAAAAAGAGTATTTGAGTATGCCATCAGCGCCTCGTTTCAAAAGCTGGCTGCTGCAGCTTGAAAAAACGCTCCTATCAAATGCAGTAATGGTCTAAAGGGGAGGTCACAAGGTTTCGGAGTATCTTGGCTCCTGGCATTGATACCCGTGAGCCTCGCTCGTGCGAACAAACAGGCAAATCAGCAAGTGAGGTGCTTTTGTCTCACGAACAAGTGCATCCAGGTGCATGCTGCATTCAAAACTCCAAAAAGGTTGCCCCTAGGTTACTGTGGTTCAATGACATCATGTCAGGAGCAAGGGGTTGAGTTGAACCTGAACACCCAACATCACCAAACCTCCACCCTCACCAGGAACTGTTCTTCGTATCCATCTCAAACGACTCTGAATGCGGGAAAGAAACTGCTGGTAAGATGCCAGGAAGAAGCCGACCTTATCTGCAGGAGGGAGTATTGGTTGATTCATCATCTTGTTCGCGGACTGCAATGAACTATGATGCTCACAAATATCTAGACTCTCTGATCTGCCCCAAAGCCACTACGACGGAGCATCGAAGAAACGGATCCTGCAATGCCTGGACAAACAACTTCTTAAGCAAGGGCTTCATGCAACTTTAGGAACAAGAAGCTACTAGGGGCTCCTGGCATCGCTACTAGGAGCAAGGACGCTACTAGGGGCTCCTGGCCTTACTACTAGGAACAACAGGACGCTACTAGGAGCCAAAACCCGGGCAATTGAAAAGGCAAGGAGGCATGGGCCTGAATGATCGTGATGGGTCGCGTTGCCCCAGCTTCTGCTGCAACGACCTCGGAAAATCTCATCAAAAGGTTGCTTCTTTTTCAATAAGGCGGATTGTCAGCAAAACTCAACAAGCATTTGATGTCCCTTGTTGTTGGCTGTATCATCTATTCAACCGAGATGCTGCCAAATCCTTCAACTTCAGCTCCAGTTTAGCCGCATTGCTGTCTCCGAGACCAGTCTCCCTGGTTGCGTCTCAACGTTTTACCATTCAAGCTGCTATGAGCTTCTTTACTTGTGCAGCGCGTAAAAAAAACACAGAACCAAGAGATGAAACTATTCCAGCTCTGGAGGTAAATCAAAGTCTCGAGGCAAATCTGGTAAGCTCACAAATATGAAGATTGGTAGGGCTCGTCGACGGGTCGATCTTTACTACTTGCAGCTTTGAGACAGGTCTGGAGGAGGACGGCCATAGGTTTTGTACAGCATTGTCCTGGATGAAAAAGTGCGCAAACACACTTCGACAATTTTGTATTCAGTTAGCTCAATTTCTCCGATGGGAAGGATGGCGAAGAACCGCAAGGTGAAAGGTCCAAGAACTTGTAGGTGTTTGAAAACACTGTTGCTCAAGTCTGCAGAGACGATCGGTCGCTCGGGCGGCGCGGCGCAAATCAGCTAACGCGCAAACTCAGCTGCAAAACCGAGGTTTAGGGGTGGAAGCATGAAGAACCATGAATCAAAACGTGGAAGAGTAGGGTGACAGCGTGTGGAAAACTCTGCAGGTACAGGTGGATGATCAGTCCACCCATCCCTCGATACACCAGAGCTTCGTTGCGTCAGGTAGGTGTATCGAGCCTGACGCCCCTGCTTGTTGGAAATGGTGAAAGGAGCCCTTTTTCCAGGGGTGGACACACACACACACACTGTTTGTTTAAAATCAAATGTACAAATATGCAACACGGTAATGCAGGTCCAAAAGCACCTTTTGCATCGAACACAAACTTTGGCCAAGCCTGGCTTCATCCATCCTTCCCTTCAGGGCATGGCACCAATTTCCGTCTTGCAAGGTCCAATCTGTGCTTTAGCCGGGACAATGCCATCGACCCTGCCTGTCGGACCAAAAAGGTCACAGAGTCAACTGGGAGGTCGTACTTGAAGACGAAGAATTGAAAGCCTGGAGCACAATGTTCCACTACTAGTAGGGTGGAGGCCATCGCTATTAGGTTGGAGGCCATTGCAATTAGGTTGAGGTGAGGACTTTATATGATTTCAGGATACAAGCTGCGACAAGCCGTGTAAGCATTTCGCCGGCATGCAGGAGCCTGCTAGAAGGCATGGCAAACCCAGTATGGCTCGCCACCACCAGTCATTTCGCATCTCAGATCAAATGTGGCGATCCAGCACCATAAGTCCAAATATTAAAGCAGCTGCATGCCAAGCATCTGCTCAGCTTTGTCTGTCCACTCACAGAATTTGGCTAATTAGGAGCATTGCCAACAGGAACACAGTCTTGATGAGATGAAAGATGATGAAAGCATGAACAATTCCACAAACGAAACCTTGAAACTACAGTACATTTGTATTTAGAACTTAACCTTCAACCACCCAGTTGCTGTGAGGCCCATGTCTGGCGGATCCTGCGGCAGGCCAACGAGCTCTGCCGCCAAAAGACCTTGCGCGTGTGAGAAGAGAAGCACCGGATCATGCGAAAGATCGGTTGTTGAGTTGAGGATTGCACTTGGCGACATGTTTTCTTTTTCTGAATCTCAGTATATAACTCTCATCGCTTGGGACACTTCACCTGCATTTACCAGGTATCCAGGACGATGCAACATGGACCAAGAAATTGGACATGGAGCATCATGGAGCAAATTTATGAAAGCCTATGAAGGCTGAGGACGGTGATCAGTGGCTAGATTGTGAGCCAAACAAGTCAGCAAGAGGCAACAGCAGCTGCAAACTTCGTAGCACGTGCACAGCGCAAACATGCACCAATAGTGCCCTGTGGCAAATGCAACGGCAACTCCCTCTACTGAGCAAAGGCTTGAAAAAGCAAGTGGTCTTTGCTTGGCAAGTGTGGCTTAGGTGACACATCCCCAGAAGTCTAGAAGGATCAGTGGTAGGACTGAGATGCAATGTCCAGCTACTTGATTGAAACACTACTATATAATTTCAATTAATTTCAATATATTCCAATACTCTCCTCTCATGTTTAGAAACTGGCAATGATCCCGCTCAAGTTGGGACAGCACTGAACGCTCAAACAAGGCACCCGTCGCAATGTACAATCCATGCTTGGCTGAATGCCATCCTCTGCATTCCGGAGGTGACACCTGGAAATAACTGTTGATGTGCTTGACTTGACTCAAGTTCATGCTTGCTTCGACTGCTACTGTTTCTCAAACAATCGATATGAACAGTCCAACAAATTCGATATAAAACAGTCCTCTGCAATGTAGACAGGTGCTGAAATTGCCTTGATGATTCCAATGCTTGTCAAGCAAGTGAGTTGAGAAGCACTGATAAAAGTTAAGCTTCCAAACAAATCTATGCACCAAATGAACAGTGCGAGGGCTTCTTCACGGCAGCTCTCCCGCCCTCAGAGAGGGGGGAGCCTGCTTGAAGAAGCTCAAGCTTTCCTGCGTCCCAGCTACTAGTAGTAACTACTTACACCTCTACCCCTACCTCCTCACGGCCTACCGGGACAAAAAAGCAAAACAAGTTGTTCAGCCAAGACGCTGAGATGCCCAAACCTATGCCCGAGAAAAGGCGCGAGAGTAGCAAGCCCTTGATGCCAATAGCCAAACCACCGAAGAGGCCCCCGGCCACAAAGAACACATCCTAGGCTTCTGCTTATGCTACAGGGTGCTACAGGTCCAGTTCTGCATGCTTTGGAGTTGAGATGCAAAACATTGCAAAACAATCAATACTTTCTAAGGGGGAAACAACTAGTAAGTTAACGTAGCTAGCTAGTAGTAAGGGGTAAGTAGGAGACCTTGGAAGCTCCTAGATAGGGACGCAAGAGAGCTCAGGCTTCTCCAAAGAAGCTCCCCTTAGTTTGTTTGGGAAACTTGTAATGTGTTAATCGTTTCAACTGTGTTTTCAATTCGCTGTGGTATTGTCTCAAAAGACAAAGATGCACGAAGACTCTTCATCAAATGTTTGCCTACTCAAAATATCTCAGCTTGGCTGGAATTGTCCCTGCCCCCTGTTGCTTTGCCTTTTGTTATATTGAAATGATTGTTCCACATTATAAGCTCATGTACAATGTACAACTGTAGAACTTTAAGTGAATGTGTTGCCGGATCTTGCCCAAGCATCAGAAATAAGAAGTTGTATCCGTGCACCTTGGAGGCTAACAGCTCGATCTAATTCATGCCATGTGTACTTTCTGACTAATCTAGAATCTACCAGGCACACATAAAACGTTGACAAGGAACCAGAATTGACCATGAAGGGCCGTCCCACAAGCAGTGCTCCTGCTGCAGCTCCCAAGTAAAGAATTGCATTGATGAGACCTCCAAGTTGGTTCTGCAGAAACAAATCTGAAATGATGCTGTTGCATACACATTCCGCCACAACCAATTGGTCAGAACACCAAAAGTAACTAACCACTTGTGACCCAAAGCACCTCCATCGATGGCACTAGCCAAGCAATCTGCCCTGACGGTGCTCTTGCACCATTCAAAGTGCAGGGCAATAAAGTCCATGCCTTGTCATCGGGTACTATAAATTCAATTTCAAATTCTCGCTGTCGCACTACTAATTCTTACAAATACTCTTTGAACTGCCGCCTAGGTGCATGAATTCAGATTGCAAAGATGGTAGCCTCAGAGCAAATACTCTGGTGTGTCCACAGGTCAAAATCTCCTCACCCAAACATACAAGACTGAGGTAGCTCTGAAATATAAAGTTCTTGTGGACCTCTGGTACCTGCTTGCTACTATGGGTCCGGGAATAGCATGCATGTTACATGTTGATCTCAATCTGCCTTTGGCCGGCAGGAACAGTTCAACATGTGACTCATTGATATGCATATCATGTTTTGAAACGAACAGTTCGTTGTGGCACCAATTCAACTGGATCCTACAAGACTCCCTCTAGATACCATGCCAAAGCACCATAGAGAAAGCTGCTGATAACCCCGGTGTAGACAGCTTGTGTAGCAATGCCACAATTGGGAGCTTCCAAAGGCTTTTCAGTCTTCCCGCTACCACCACCAATCTTCTTCCTGAGCAACAGGGTTCAAACTGAGCGACCGAGATCCATGGCAATACATCCACTTTAGATCATCTAGAATTCTTTTGCTATTGCTACTTTTGCTCTCAATGAGCTCGCCACCCTTCATTCTCATCAAGATCAGCTCGCATTGTGCCACGAATCTTCCTCGAGAATCGAGAGCGGAAGCAAATCACACCGAGAAAAGCGTCTTTGATTCAAGAGATGCAATTCAATCCAAGATACCAAAACTGTAAACCGATATATATAAAGTGACGAAGCTAAGATTGGGCTAACGCTGACTTTGAGCCCAACCTTTCCAGCGCCAGACTTTGGGCTTTGGTGCTTGCTGTTCATCTTTGCTGTGACAAGAATTGCATGTCACAAGTCGGTGATCCTTTTTTGGGCTCTATACAAGTCTAACGTGCCACTGTCTCTGCACTGTACAAGCGGCAAATGCTCTGTTTGTTCACAACTGAGAGAGACAGTGAGGTTCACCCTCACAGCAAAACTTGCAGCTGCACTACGCCTCAAGTAGTTCAGGCCTCATTCACTTGTGAGCGAAACACAAAACGAAGATGTTGACTGGAAAAATGATTCAAAAACGGCTGAGACATACTCCAAGTCCCTTCATCAGCTTTCGCAAGAGTCACCTGACAGCTTGCAGCAACTCAGGCTGATCGTCTGGGATTTGGCTTGCCAAAGTTGCTTCGAAGGAACAATCAAAGGGCTTGCCATTACCTAAGCCCCTCTGAGACTGTGGCTTGCAGCACACCATCACTGAGTGTCCAAGTGCACTCATCAGCAGTGGTGTTGCCAGCAAGTGACGAGTCAATGATCACCTGCAGTCTGAAGCTGAGTGTATCAGCTGCTCCAAGCCAAAACTATCCAAAAATAGCAAAGCGAGGCTTGAAGCATATGACTCCCGGAATCTCCGACCTGGTCTTTGACCTCTACTCGCAGGCGCTTCCTTCCAAATGCAACCTCACAACGTGCATTCTCTCGCCAGCTTCACAATCTTCACGAAGCATGACACTTTCGTAAAAGATCGACCATGCAAAGGTTCAGGGCGGCAGCTTGATACCTTGAAGAACCCTAACCCTAAATCCATTCTGCGTTCTGTCCCTAATGGCTATTGACCTCTATTATTGACAATTGAAGATGCGACATTTTGCCTACTTGCCTTTCTCCACTACCCCCAGTTCTTCATCGCCTCCGCCCATCCCCCACAAGAAAAAATAAAAAAGCTCAGGCCAGCTGACTTTCACGTATTTCTTATCGCCTTTCTGCAAACCTTCTTTCTTGAAGGTAACCTGCTGCCGAAGGTCAAGCGCAGCTCAAGTCGAGTGTCAACGCAAAAGCAGGTGCCGTGGCATCTTACGAGGTTTGAGGTATGTGTTTAAAGTTTAAAGTGTCTCTCAGCCGTCAGAAAGCAAGTCCGGCGCCTCTACTTCATCTTCAGACTGGACAAGCCACAGCAAACACCACTTGCTTTTTCATTGTTGACACCAAGAAGTTGTTTTGTCTCTGCATGATGCCACTTGTTGCTAGGGTGTGGCCTCATCAATCAAATTGCTGCGTTGCAGAAACAACATACTTTGTACAGCTGGTAGAGTCTGTGGAACAAACGTTTCTTCTGCAAGCTCCAGTTGCCTGCTTCCAGGAATAGTCTGCAGTCTCACCCTTCGGCGCTGAATCAGCAAGCATGGATGGGTCAATGCGTGCCTCAAGGCGATTAAGTGCAACTAGCCAAGTTGAGACGTCACTGACCATCTCAATATACTGGGTACTTGCCAAAGCAGTAACACTTCAGTTGCTGACATGTGTTCAACACATGCCGGTTGAGCAGGGTTGTTAACTCCAATCGAGTTGGCCATGCTTTGCAAATCACCCGACTTCCTGAAGCAAAAGTGCGCGAGAAGATGCGAGATGACAAGATAAGCCGTTGTAGCTCAGCCATTGCGTGCCTGTTGGCACGTTGCATCTTGGTGACGTGGATCCACTCTGCATCGGTACTACAGTCCTGGAAAGCTCATGGAAAGGACGAATTGGAAAGCCAGAAGCGCGCAGTCGAAGAAGGCCTTCAGCGTGAAGTCCATGCGCCTCCATTCGTCCTGCACAATGCACTGCAACAAGCAATAAAATCTTGCTTGAGCCAGCATCTGAAGGGCCCAACAGTTCAACCACAAACACCGTTGAGAAAAATCATGTTCACAAGTTTTTGCAAACTTCATGTGTGGCCGTGGCCGCGTTCATAAATTAAACTCCGAATGAACAAACTTAACAAACATCTGCTGCTTTTGTGAGAGTGCTTTTCCGGGCACTAACTCCGTCAAAGATAGTTACTTGTTTGGGCTTTGGGGACGCGAACGAGAGGAGCTCAAGCACTGTAGAGCCCGGAGGGTTGCTGACGCTCATGGCTTGAAGCTGGAGTAGCTGGAGAGGAGTGACAGGCCCAGTAACACGGACGCTACTAGGAACAAAGGGCATCGCTACTAGGAGCAAGGACGCTACTAGTAGCTCCTGGCCTTACTACTAGTAACAAGAAGCTTCTAGGAACAGCTGTCTGTGTTTTGAACAAATGTTGTTGCAACGCTTGTCACATTTGAACCACATGCACATGCGGCTGGTGGGTGCTTTTGGTCATTCAGATTGCAAACACATCAAGCTGGCAAACAGCTGATCCTCATTCCCTGGTCTTGAGAATCAAAAGAAAATAGAGCAAGATCGTCCTGAGTGTCGTCGAAGACCCTGCCGATGAAGCAATCCCCTCGAATAGTCTGGCCCGGATAACCACAGGCCTTGTCTCAATATAAAGGCATTGCCATTGCATATTAACTGGCCAACCTCACACATACTAAGGCACATCTTGGCAAGTTTTGGTACGTAGCATCTGAGGCCCCTTCCTGCACCAAACTAGACACCCGGATGTTCTCCTGGCACAAAGACTTTGTGACCAAAGCTTGAAGCCCTGACCTTCTCACCACAAGAGTGTGGGAAAACAAGAAAGTAAGCAACCTTTGGATGCTGGGCCTCCAGATTTTTCGCAACACCCTTGTCATCCAAATACCTGTGCTCAAGGAGCCAATTCGATCATTGAAGCCAAGGGAAGCCAGTGTACTAAGGGAGTTCAAGGAGCTTCAATCCGTGCGGCAGCGCACACACTGACTCCCTGGAAGCAAGTCTCCTTCCGAATTCTCGGGTGACAGCCATGGCCAGTAGCTTCTTGTTACTACTAGTAAGGCACTTGTTACTAGAAGCGATGCACTTGTTACTAGTAGCTTCTTGTTACTACTAGTAAGGCACTTGTTACTAGAAGCGATGCACTTGTTACTAGTAGCTTCTTGTTACTACTAGTACAACGTTGAAAGAAAAAGGATGATCTTAGTCTTAGTTGAATCTCCTTTGTCGGAAGCTGGACCGGAAAAATCTCGACACTGCTGGTGGAGAGAAGCTTGTCCAACATCTGACAAGCACTGAGCAGTTGCTTCTAGGATCTTCTTCACGAGAAGGACTTTGTGTGCATGACAAGTCTGCAAGATACAATTCATTGCTTGCTACACTCATTCACAATCAATCTGAACAAGCCAGATTCGTGTCTTGAAAAAGAAAGAATGTCAAGACATCTGGAAGTCTTATCCAAGGCACGTCATTTGCCATTTCGCCTTTGTCTGCCTTCTCCTTGCTGCGCAAAGAGTTTTTTCCCCAATAGCCATGCTATGGGGTCTTGCAAAACTAATAGGCGGACGGGCGCCGTCGGGTCACCGTCAGAGCTGGTGGGCGGACACCCGGTCATGTTTTGATGGCGTCCGGGTCATGTGATGCTGGTGTCCCGGTCATGTTTTGATGGTGTCCCGATCATGTTTTGATTGTGACCGAGTCATGTTGTGATGGTGGCGCGGTCATGTTGTGATGGTGTCCCGATCATGTTTTGATTGTGTCCCAGTCATGTTGTGATGGTGTCCCGGTCCTGTTTTGATGGTGTCCCGGTCATGTTTTGATGGTGTCCCGGTCATGTTGTGATTGTGTCCCAGTCATGTTGTGACGGTGTCCCAGTCATGTTGTGATGGTGTCTCGCTCATGTTGTGACGGTGTCCCGGTCATGTTTTGATGGTGTCCCGGTCATGTTGTGATGGTGTCCTGGTCATGTTTTGGCGGTGTGCCGGTTATGTTTTGATGGTGTCCGGGTCATGTGACGGTGTCCCGGTCACCTTGTGATGGTGTCCCGGTTATGTTGTGATGGTGTCCCAATCATGTTGTGACGGTGTCTCGGTCAT